AGAAAGAACATGGTCGATGAGGAGAACGATAAGAAACAACAAGGGTGTGCGATGAATCAAACTAAAAGTAATGTTTGAAAAAGAGAGAGAAAAAAAAAAAGGTTATTCAAATAATTTTACATAAAAAGTGTATTTAATAAATAAGAAGAATATAAATTAATAACACAAACCAATGAATACGTCACATAGATCCATCCTCTAGACTCTAGTGGAGAGTCTATAGCAATGGATAAGGTTATAGTGACATGGGTGTGATGTGTTAATTTAATCAGATGTTGGTGCAAGTGAGAAAAAACAAAGGATTGTGAATAGGGAATATATGAGAAACTCTTCGTGTGTGTAAAGTGTAAACCAATTAAAGCAAAGAATTTAACCAAAAAAATTAGGTGCATCGTTGCATGATCACCATCCTTATCCAGTTACTGCTCCTGTGGCTGACAAACCATGTCCTAATTACTTATTTTCTACTAAGGAAGTCATCTAATTTTTAGGTATATTTATAACGATACAATGTTTAACTTTCTCAAATCACAACTATATAACGAATAATATTTATAATATTATTTTCACTCTTCTTCATCACATCAATTATTTTATTTTATTTTTATCCATATTTCTATTTTTATTATGTGCTTTTCTAACGTGTGAATTTTAAGAATGATTGTTGATTTTATTAATTTATATATTGTTGTGATATATTATTTGATTGTTAAGAAACTCTAGAAATTTTTTTAAAAAAATTAGGAATTTTTGGTTATTAAGAGTTATTCTAAATAGAGTTCAAATTGATCTGTTAAGAAGAAACTATACAAGGTTTTCTTTAATATTTGAGTTTTATAAGTTTATTCTTAAAAACCTTAGAGAAAACCTGAAGAGAGAAACTTTAGATCCTAAAAATATTCTTTCTTGAGAGTATAGAGGGTCATTGTTGAGTAGCAGAGTAATGATTCAAAGTCCCTAGAGCTGAGAATTAAAAATATTGGAGGATTTGTCCAGAATTCTTTGAAAAGTCTTGTCCATCTTCTTTTTTTTTTTCCTATTTATAAAGGATTTAGTGATAAAGGAAACTTGCACTTTGTTGATTTTGTGTTGTTCTAGTTGGATTCTACATGAATCATTCTTAAATTGTTGAATTATGTTGTTGATTTGAGTTGAGATTGAAGTTGGTTGTTCTTGAAGCATATTGAGGTAAATTTGATCATTCTATTGATTGTTGGTTGCATGTTGTATTTCTTATTGGAGTTAAAGTGATTGTGAAGTATATAGTTGTTTTCGTGAGTTGCAGAGTTTTAGGTGAATTGAGTAAATTTGTGATTTTGTCAAGTATATAAATTATCATAGCATTGGACACAACTTCAAGGCAACATATGTGATGCAAGTTAGAGGCTTTCTATCTCACTAATATCGAATATGAGATTGGTAACATTAGATATGAGTTAGAGGAGAACTTTCTAATTTGGTCATGTTAAGTGTGGGTTGAAAGTTATGTCAATCATATTTAAAATTTATATAAATAAATATTTAAAAATTTAAATTATTTTAGTTTTATCTTAAATAATTTATATTATAACATAATATTATTTTTATTTATTGATAATTTATTTTAAAAATATTAAAAATTTATTTCATAAATAATTATAATAAATAAAAATTAAATTATATAAAAAAAATTAAAAAATTTCTAAAAATCATCTCGTGGAAAAAAAAAACTCTTAAAATTACTTCGGTACAAAATTTAGATTATTATTTAATATATAAGATTTGATTGAATATACAAATATCATCTTCCAAATATAAATAACCTTCATATATAAAAATTAGAACAGTTTTCTTGTTATATCTTAAAAAAAATAAACATTAATATTTTAAGAATTATTCTTCAATTTTCAACAATTGCGTTTTTTTTTTTAAATTGTTAACTTAATCTATCAACTTTTTTAGGAGTCGAAATGGTATAGAGTTGTCAGTTGTTTGCTTTTTTTTTTTTTTTGGCTATACTTGGTTATGCATTACTGTTTTCCGGCTTTGTTAATATCCGTAAGAATTATCATATAATTTGTATTTAAGAATTTTGTATTAAATTTTACTATGAAACATAATCTTTTTTTTTAATTTTTTTTTAATAAAAGATACTCTTTTTTTGAGGGAAATAAAAACCAAATAAACAACTTTGGGTTTATAAAAAACGTTCTTAGTGTTTTTTGGTGGTTTGAGTTTCTGTTATCTGGTCACTATAGTTTCATCGAAATGTGATCACATTTCAGCAAGGTGTTACGGATTGCAAGGAAGTGTTGGACAGTATTAAACTACGCTCATGGAAGTAGATAACTAGTTATGTCCCTGGATGTTCTTTTAGTTACATTAACTGATATCATAACTGAATTTATGTTTCTCATAATTTCGATTTTAATTTTGATTTATAATTATATTTTTGTATTTCTTGGAATGGGTTGCTCTCTCTTAATTTAAATTCCTCTTGCTTATAAAAAAAAATATATAAACGACTTTGCTGATAAATTTTTTTAAATATAAATCACTTTATATTGAATTTATGTAATGAATAGAAGAAGGGTAGCTAGTTAAATGTAAAATAATAATAACAGTATATAGGTAGGGTGCTACCAACTTTCTGCAAAGCCAGCCTGAAGGTTTATGTGTTGTCACGAGCTATCCGTTTGTATATATTTTCGTGTCTGTGATTCTGTACTTGCAAATAACTGCAATAAATAAATAATAGTAATAATGTAGCATCACCCATGGGATACTTGCCCTTTTTCCCCACATTAAATAAAACACAGATTTAAAAATAAATTATTTTAAAAACTATTTGTCAAAATAAATTCTGTTTACCACGTCATTGGTTCCCAGGCACACAAAACAAAAAAGATAAAACGTCATTGTGAATTGTGTGTGTTTAATTTTGGTGTACTAAAACATAATCCAGTTTGGCATGCAAAGGCATGTTACATGTACATGTTTGGCTTAATTGAGTCTACAGACTAGGCTTGTTAGTTAAAAGATCACTTGATATCTGTAAAGGGACCTAAGGCTATAGGAATGTGTGGACAAAATGTTAGTTTTTCACAAAGCAAGTCATTTCATTTGCTCCTTTAATTCTGTCAACTAATTCATTTCATCTCCAACTCACTTTGCTTTTTCAATTTTGAATTTTTTCTATGGGGACCCATAAGGTGTGTGTAGGTCTGCTTACTTTTGTTCATTTTGCTTTTTTTATTTTTTATTTTTTTAGTGAAAGGGAAGAGTGACTCGAGAGTAATGAAAAGTATGCCTAGAGTTAGGTTTTTGGCAAAGAAAGGATCAAAGGAATAAGGGGGGATAAATAAGTTGTTTTTAAATTAAGAGAGTTACATAATGTTTATATAAATAACTAAATAAGGAAAACACATTTATTATATTAGGTTTATGTTAATTTATTATTTTGTTTTTCATTTTGAAAAATCATTAAACTATAAATTTAAAAATTATCTTTGTTTTTTTGTTTTATTGTTTTAAACTAGATTTATTGTTTTTCTAATGATGTTTCTCAAGATATCTCAATAGTTAATCTTAAAATACTCTATACTTTAATCATTGTAACATAGGCAATACATAATTTCTTTTAGAGGGATTTATATTTTCAAAAAAAATCTTAAGAGGGTCACAAAATATTTTTATATACAAATTTTATAGAAATTTACAAATTTTGGGGGATTGGTGGCAATCCGAGTTCCTCCTTAACTTCGTTCCTAACCCTAATCAGATCTATTAATATTATTATTACTCCTTTTTGTGTGAAAATATTTTAAGATGAAAGCATCTATTTTTTATTTTTATTTATTAAATTTTTTTTTTATCAAACTAACTTTTTATTCACCTCACTTTTATTTTTACCCTTCGCCCTTTATTTCTATCATATTTCTTATGAACTAAAGAAAGCTTAAATTAACCAACAACCCAACTTATAAATCACAATATATTACGAACCAAAGTCTTTATATTGACGAGTGTGAATTCTCTCCGATATTAATGTTTTTTTAGAAGAGAGATATTCACAAATATGTTAAGTGATAAGAAAAATAATTCTCTTTCATTCGAAATTCCTCTTACCATAAATTTCAATATCAGAGAAGATATACACTATATTTATAGATCCATGTCTTTAAATAAATCAATTGATATATGATTTTAGAATGTTATATAAAAAAATATAATAATATTAATAAATTTAATGATATATTATTATATTATTTATATGTGCATGAATAAGTTAGTCTATTCATTTTATTTTTATTAGAAATTTAAAAATATTTTGAACCAAATAAATTCTTAAAAATATCTAAATCTAATTTATTTAATAAATACGCTAATGACAAGTAGACAAATCTAATTGAAGACAGACCACTGGTATTTGGTATGCTGTCGTTCAAAATTCAAATAGGTCTTATATCTATCCATCGTACCACTTTTTAAAAATTAATGTGAGCCATATATAATATATTTTAATAACGAGTATATTAAAATATATGTAGTTAATATTGTTGTATAAATTATAGAGATGGAATAAAAAATTCAATAAACCACTGTAAGTACTAGGTAGGCAAGTAGGAGATGAGTTAGGTGAGTTAGGTGACAGAAAGTGAATCTCTCTTGGAATTGCTTTTGAAAATCCGTAAATTATGGTTTGGTTTTTAATAAGGTAAACCAAATATGGTATAAAGTTGTATAAAAAAGGGAGAGGTACTATAAAGTAATTAAAGGCATGAATTGATTGAGGTCCATTTGGTATTAATGGACCATTGAGGGTTGAGCTGGACTTTAGTTAGGGCCCAAGACAGAAGGCTATGTGTTGGGCCTCGGTGACAGTAGAATAGACGGAGGATTTGGAGATGGAATTGTAGGAGGCCACGTGAGGAGGTGGATCTGAAGGTGAGAAACCATTGGCTGCTTTCTGATCCGAAGATAAGAGGATAAGGCCACGTGGCAAAAACCCAGTGGCTCCTAAACACAAAAACACCACCTTGTTTTCCCTTGGTTGTTCTTGTTCCCAACACCAACACCAACACCAACACCAACACCAACACCATGGCCTCTCCAACACTAATAACCCCAACATCCACACCCAAATCACTCACACCCATGAAGCCCAAAACCACCAGCATCGCCGCCAGAGGCAGAAGCAGCACCACCATGAGCCAGCCTGGACGGCGCGAGTTCCTCTCCTTGGTGAGTGGGTCCGTCGTGTGTGGGTCATGGGTGGTTGGGGCAGTGGCGGCGTCGGACGAAGAGTACGTGAAGGAGACGGAGGAGGTGATCGGGAAGGTGAGAACGACCATAACGATGGAGAAGAATGACCCGAACGTGGCCTCTGCGGTTGCGGAGCTGAGAGAAAGCTCGAACTCGTGGGTGGCCAAGTACCGGAGGGAGAAAGCGCTTCTGGGAAGGGCTTCCTTCAGAGACATGTATTCGGCTCTGAACGCTGTTTCCGGACACTACATTAGTTTCGGAGCCACCGCTCCTATTCCTGTCAAACGAAGGAACAGGATTTTGGAGGAGGTGGACACTGCCGAGAAGGCGCTTCTAAGGGGAAGATAGATTTCCTAACTTAATTGCCTTTTTCTATGTGCACTCATATCATAGAGTCAAACTAAATCCAGGCATCATTCTCTTTTCCTTTTCCTTTTAATTCAACTGCCTGCATGCGCCTTTTAATTCTCTTTTGTTGAACCCGTAATTACCATTAGACAATAAGCCCATGCCCATGGTCATTTTGGATCAAGACTAAACAACTTGTCACTTACGTGTTAGGCCACACTAATCACAAAACCAGTAGTGTCAACATAACAAGTCATCATACAATCACCTATATTTTCACACTAATTTATTATGTTCTATAAGATTATATTTAAGACCATAATTTTCAAGAAAAAATAAGATACAAATGAATTTGTTTGAATTCAAGTTTTTTTAGTTTGATTACTTTTTTTATGTATGTAATTTCATAATTATTTTTCCTGTTAATTTTATATTTTATTTTATTTTATTTTAATTATTCGAGATCTTATACATATAAGTAAGATTCAATCTTTATCTTATAAGATAGTTGTGTGAGGTTGAGTTAGACTTTTAACTCATTTTTTTAATATGGTATCAAAACATATTGTAGTCTATCATAACCATTTTTCTAATGTAAAGTTTGGTAAAACCTCATTCATATGATGTCTATCTCATTTAGGGTGGTAACCTTCTGAGCAGGTCAGGTAATTTTTATCATCCCAAAAACATATATTTATTCATAAACTTGTTTTTTTTTTTGTTCGTCCTTGGAGTATCCACCACTGATAGCGGTGACTAATCTCCTCGCTACGTTGGAGGCACCTCAAAAGGTGGGATAGTTGGCCCTTAGATTTAACGCGGCTGCATACACAAGGCAGGATTCGAACTCCTGACCTTGCCCAAGATTCATAAACTTGTTTGATTTCAAGCCTAGTTTAATATTTTATGAATTTTAAAGCGAATTAACATATGAGACATCTTATAAATAATTATTTTATAATATAATAATAATAATAATAATATAAATAATAAACACGTAATTTAATTGAAAATTATACGCTTTTATTATATTAAGAAAAAAGCACAGCTTTAACAAATTTTAACAGATTTATCATACTTCTCATTCAATTTAGAATTTGATTGGACAAAATTCTCTAGAGATACTTTTAGGAAAAAAAAATAGAAAGAAAAATGGAAGTAAGATTTTCTTTAAGAGAAATTAGCTTTTGTTTTGTATAAGTTAAAAATAAAAATATAGAAAAATAAATAAGAAAGAGCTTCTAAAAAATAACTTATATATAAATTAATTTTAACTTGTAAAAAAATTATTTTATTTATTTTCTTATTTCTTTTAGTACTTTTGAAGAAGTTAATCCAAATAGGTTCCTATTCGTTAAATTATTGTCTATCACATCCTAAACAAAATGTCCAAATTATTTTAAAATACAAATTGTTTTGATATTTTGTGATTTAAAATTATTGATGATAACGTCAACATTAAGAGATATAATAAGGATAGAGTAATTTATATATTTACAAATGCATAAATTATATTTTCTTTTACCCAATCCCAATCTCAACACTTTTTCTTCCTTCAAAATAGGTAGATACAATACAAAGTAAAGTAATCCTTCAATTCTCGTAGCAACCACGAACAATCATAAAACTTTTTATTGCATTAGGAAAACTGAAAAAGAAACCATGCGATGGGCTTCAACTAAATATTTAGCAAGATTGCGAAAAATTATAAATAGAAGAAAAATGAAAGTTTAAAGGTATTATTTTCCTCTTCATAAACGTCGAATTTTGAGCCTCTTCCAATTAGCCATCGCTGTTTAGGCCTAGGCCTAAGGTTGACCATGGTTGATTGGGCTTGAGTTTCAACTTTTGCCATAATCCCTGTTGATGACACTTTTGTGGGCAACCACTTTTTCAGGTCCCAAAATGATTGTGCAAAAATTTAGGTCCAAATTGTTTTTCAGTTTTCTGTGGACATGCTTTGATCCTTCGGATTTATGCTTTCTTGGACTATTTAAAATGTTCGACTTTGAATTTGACCATTCAGGTGACTTTATCTATGGGGTGGGAAAAAAAGGAAGAGAATATTGATTAGGGCATATAAAAAGATGAGTTTATACTAAACTAATTCTGTTAAAACCGAAATGTTTGGAGATAGGAAAGTCAAAAGAACAGAAAGCGTAAGCATGAAAGTTGTTCATAATATATTTGGCTGTTTCAATGGGTGAGATGAGACCTTGAGCCTTCATGCTGCTACTTGCTTTTTACCTATATACATTATAAAGCCATGCAACCAAATTATCGCCGAAGAACATGGACAAGAATTAAAATATATAAAGTACAAATACTAATTTTTATTGTTTGTTCCATAGGAGAAAACAAAAGGAGAGAAATTATTTCCCTAAAACTTAAAAAATACAAAAACACTTTCCTTTTAGATCGTAATGAATGAAGAAATTAAAAGAGAGAGAGAGAGAGAGATGATCTTTCTCTTATTTATTTATTTATTTTTGTTTTGATTTTAAGTTTTTATGATATAATTTATAAAAATAACATATTTTTATGTTAAGAAATAATAAATTAAAGATGAAAATTTTAATTATGATACAAATACTGTTCCCATAATTTATCTAATTTTTGCACTTTTTTTTTTCAATTATTCGAATAAATGGAGTTTTTTCTTGTTATTTTTGTTCATGTACAGTATATCTGTTACTCTATTATTTTCTTTTCTAATTATTTTCCTCCATTGGTGAAACATGAGACTTGATCTAATTCCACTGTGACTATCCCTTCCCATCGGTCCAACACTACGGGCAGTGGAAATTTATATATGAAGATAAATTTTGTATGACTTCTCTACTAATAGACATCGTGGCCTTGTCAGCAACACTAAAATTAATAAAAGTTGGCTATGGACTTTTTATTTGTAGATATAACTACATTTGTGTTAAAGGGAAACTATAAAAATCAACAATTTGACATATCTCCAATACATAAGCCGACATGGGGAAATCTTTCATAAATGTATCATGAATTTGTCTCCCAGACCGATGAATATGGACAACGTTGTTAAACACTTACTTTCACTGTTTATCAAATTTGGCTTCGACTAACAAATCATTATTTTTATGTGTTATTAAATTCGATTTTTTTTAAAATAAAGTTTTGAATTAAAATGATTAATTAATCAAATATCTTGAAAGATTAGTGATTATCGTAATTGATGAATACTATACTATGATTTAAAAAGAAAAAAAGAATTGGCTTGATAAGTGCTTAAACTAATTTAATGTCTGAATCACGAATCAAAAGCTTGGAATAATCACACTGTACACTCCATAGTAAGATTATAATAATTAAAATTAAAAGTAGGATAACATTTGGTGGGGGTTATGGGATGGAGGAGTAGGGAAAGGAATCACGAATCAAAAGCTTGGAATAATCACACTGTACACTCCATAGTAAGATTATAATAATTAAAATTAAAAGTAGGATAACATTTGGTGGGGGTTATGGGATGGAGGAGCAGGGAAAGTGAGGAACACGTTTATGATGATGAGTCCTCTATTGAATCAGTCCCTCATAATAAATTACCTAACACATCTAAACCATATCTAACCAAAAGTGAAAGATTGACCAAATTAACATGACAGCCGGCCCTTCTTCTCCGATCAAATTCCCTTTAATGTTTTACTAAACATCTGTTAATCAAATGTTTTTCGATATTTAGTATCCAAAAATACAAAAATATATTCCAACAACCGACAGTAAAAATTGAACTTATATTTTCATACACTTATTCTAATTTTCCAACTATTAGGTTCTTCTATGCGCTTCAATCATCTTTTAGTTTAGGCAAACAGTTGGGACAGTACTATGATATCTAATTGGATAACAAGGCTTCAACACAATGCAGATAAACTTCAGGCCACGATATTCTTAAAAAAATACGATGGTGATGTTGTTTTAGCCACGTTAGATATGAGTAATTTAATGCATTTAATATTGACATTAAACTAGATATTTATGCAAATCTTACCTAAGCAATTAATTATGTATTTCCCCCCATATATAGTGTTTGTAAGTCATCCCCACTAATATTGGCACTTAACTCGGGTGCCTGACTTTCAAATAATCTTTATTTAATGGTTATCTGATGCAATATGCTATATGGGTAGTGCTATGTCCCATGTCATATGTCAAATTATTAACACTTACTAATTTCTTAAATATATTCGATGCAACATGATAAAGAGTGATGCATTTGCATTATATATATCCATTTCATAATTATTCCCCATTATCTGCCAAGGGTGTAACTTTTCTTCTTCTTCTTCTTCTTTTTCTAAACCATTTTGGAGCATGTGAGTGTGACGTGGGTTTTGCACGTGACCACCGGTTAAGCACTTGGACCAATCACAATATTTCATTTGAAACTTTCCCTACAAAGGATATTGGAACCAAATTTTGTAAATCCCTTTGATGTGAATGGTTGAACCTATTGACTTCTCTACAAGTTGTTGATCAAAGTCAAGATCATATACATGTGGTATGTACGCATTGTACACTATGATTTCCATATCTGATTGGCCGAATTAGGAAAATGCTTGATCGATTTACAATCTCAAGGATCACGTTACCGAAAGTTCAATCATGTGTAGTCTACACATGTATAGAGAAAATTAAAAAATCTATTTTATGCTAAAATCACACGTAATAATATTTAAGAAAGTAAATAAAATTTATTTATTGGAACCTAAATTTAAAAAAATCTTCAAAATTGTGAAGGTTCTAAGTATATCTATATTAAAATTAATCTTTACTTGTCAATCTTTTGACCGTACAATTTTTTAGCAAAGAATATAAGAGAGAAAAAAACTAAATTTTCTTATGTTTTTTCTGTGCCACACCTCTACTGTGGAGTTGTATATTTATAAACATGTAAATATATCTATTCTTTCCGTAACAACATCTGTATCTTATCTTCTAAAAAATGAGAATTAATAAATATTCATAAATTAGTTTTTATCATTTTTTTTATCAAAACCACTTTTGATCAGGTCAAAATTTAAATTGAATCTTTTAGTTTGAAATTGCAAAATTGACGTGTTTTTTTTAATCTTAATAGAAATAAACATTATTTATATTTCTAATGCTAGTAAAAAAAATAATATTTTATTTATAAAAAAGTAATTATTTGATAAAATCAAAT